CACCATTTATAGACATTTAAAATGCATCTTAATTTATAAATATTTTACATTTGGTCCATAGAACAGGTTGCAGTTTACTAAATAATACTGTACTCTTTTTAAACAGGCTCTGATTTTTGAATTGAATATGTATATATTCATATATATTTTTATATAGAGATAGATTTGCTTGGTGTTCAGGTATTTCCTTATTGCAAAAAGCATATATGATCATACAATAATCTTTTTTTCAGGGCAAGTACTACAAAAAAGATACAGCTATTCACAGTTTACACACAGTAGTTCTACAACACTATTTTGTGCTATATGATACGTTTGTACAGCTTTTTGCTAAAGAGCAGGTCTGTCAAACATCTGTCATAATTGTTTACAATCAACATTAAATACTGCAGTTTTCTTAGAACAACATGGGACTTGATTACATTAAACGATAAAGAGGAAGTTGGAATTTTTATCCTTAGTCTAATGAAATTCACAATTATAATGCGTATGTATCATGTATAATGTTTGTGTAGGATGTACATTTCTCCTCGAAATCCCAAAGACTTACAGGACTTTTGCATTTCAGCTATAGCCATTTAGGATGTAGCTTAGATCTCGTACTATTTTACAACTGATCTATGTATGAAACAGTTTAGAATCTACCAAACATACGCTGAGATTTTATGATGTAGTTTGAGATACGTGTAGTGTGTATATATATATTATTTCTACAATAATGTGCTTGACATTCTGAGAATAATACCTTATTGCAAGAACATGTTTGTCACCTTCAGACAAAAACAACGAAAAACCCAACATTCACAGTTAACATGGTTTTCACGTAGTTCTACATAAATTGTGCTATCTAACATTGTACACTGCACAAAAATTTGCTGAAAAGCATGTTTCATTGCACAGTTCTGTCACAGTCATTTACAATCAAACATCAACTACTGCATTATCCATAATCCTGTGTGTCTGTCATATAGCTGCCAAACGAGAAACGCCGTACAGGGCTAACCGCTGCATTTTCCACACAGGGAAAACTTCCATGAGCTGAATGGGCTTTCGGGCTACGTGGCAAATGCAGACTGGCCCCAGAGTGGAGATTTTTTGATAGTATTGAAATAGCTTTCCCTCATGTCTTCATCACCACAAATAACACGTAAATAAAACCAAAACTGTTTTCAAAGTGCTAACGATCCGTATTGTATAATTTGCTTATTAGAAACTGCTGAAGTCCTTTAACGATTAAAAAGAATGGTTGTGAATTAAACCCTAAATTAGATTTTCAAGGATAAGCTTCAATCTTTCAGCCATTGTTTTGGTTTCTATTTTGGTGGCAACGCAATAATAGTAGAATGGTAACAGCACAACAAGAACGCTCAACTCGAATTGCAGATACTTTGCGTGTCTTTGACTGCTGGGAATCTTTGAGCTCTTGGATATTACTTCTCATTCTGCTAAAAAACTTAGAAGTCATATTTTTGCCTCTAAGATCTGTGATTTGTGTCATAATGATTCACAAAGATAGGTTCTTTTTCAAAGAAACAGTCTATATATATATTTCTAAAGAAATTTACCACCTTGCTTGAAACCTACCCTGGAAGGCTGAGTGCAGGCAGCATTTCCAGCCATTCCCTGCTGTACTGCCACAGCCAGCCAGAGAACTTACTTAATTTGCACTAGGAATGTTCACAAAGGCTGCATCTCCTGTGAGTTGAAGGAAGTCTCTTCCCCTTCAAATGGCCTCGACTGGAGCAAATTTTCAAGGGCAGATTTTTGTCACTTGAAATCCCTTTTTTACAAAATGCTTCATTCATTTGTACAAAACAATTCCAAACTTAATTTTACTCCTGCAAAGTCAGAAATAACAGTCTTGGGATTCAGTGGTAAGAAATATTGATAAACTACTAAAAATCAGCAGCACAAAACTTCAAATAGTCGTGCTAAAAGGTAGATTAAAAAGGTCTTGGCACATCAATTTACAAATTCGAAGATATGCAACTATTATTGTGAAAGGATAAAAACATTAACAGTCTGTGGATTGCCAGAGAACACAAAACACCGTCAACATCCGAGCTCGCGCAATGGTTGGATCATACCCATGGCGATTCCCTTATAGTGGAGATGACCTTTTTTCTTTTTTTTTCTTTTTTTTATTTTTTTTTTTTTTTTTTTTTTTGCCACTAGAGGTAGGTAATTATATTCTCAGACATAAATTTGTGGTCATATTCAACCATATTTTTTGTTTTTCTGGAGCAGTATTGGTACTTCTACAATACCGAAGTTTAGATGTAGGCTTCTTTGTTTGCAGAGTTGCTCTGTTGGGCCTGGTCTGGCCCATTTTCAGGGTGGGCGATGTCTTCACTTGGCTGAATCATTACTTGGATGCGCTGTTTAAAGAACAACAGTACGCGTGAGGCAGTCAAGAAGCATGCTAAGCTTGAATCCTAAGCAGTTCTGTCTAGGCATTGGAGCCAAAATGAACAATTCTCTATCTCCCACAGGCCCAAAAAGGCGTGAAGTCACACGTACTAAAGCCAGCTTTAGCTGTGTTCTGAACATGACAGCAGAGTTGAAAGACCATATGCAAAATGGTAGGTGCCCCCAGGCATTCACTGAGCGTGCTTAGGGAAAGGAAATGAGAGACTGCATCGAGCCCACAGGTCAAGCACAGAGGCTGCAAGTTTTGGCAGCGGGCAGCAGGGACTCAAGGCTGGATCTCGGACGTGACAGTGACCTCCCCAGGGAGCAGAGGGATTCTGCTTCTTAGATAAGGCCTGCAGGTTCGTGGCAGAGAATATTGGCTGCAGCTTCTGGGAGTTACTGCTTCCAGGGATACAACAGGTAAAGTAGATTTGTATTAAAGATTGTTTTATTGCTATTCTGTCTTTCCTAGTCCTTTTGTGTTCTCCCTTCAGGCAGCTCATATCTCAATTGAGAAAGGGAGCCCACTTTTGATCAAAGCCTGTGAGTGGTGTAGGCTTCTCCTATTATCTAATGATTATTTGTCAGTGCTTTCAAAACTCAGACCTTAATCCATGGCAAGACTGAGATGGGGAACCTTGACTGTGGTCTTGCACAACTCTGCCACATTTTAGAGCAACAATTCTCCATTTGCCCATAAATGTTTCCATAACACTAAGGAAAAGATATTCAAAATGTAGGAGCTAAGAGCAAGCAGGGGAAAAGAAAAACTAAACATTTTTTGTAGACTTCTTTAAAGCCTCACTGAGTCTTTTAAATTTTGCTGAAGAGAAATATTTGGATCAAGATCTGGGCAATTCATAAGGCTTTACTCGTCAATTCTGCTTAAGATCATCTGTCCATTTGCAAAGATGGCTCTGTCGGCTGATTTCAGAATATTCCACAAATTCTGACAGATTCATTTTGACAATCTTTCGTTCCCACAATCACAGCGCACACAGATGTGTGTTTCAATACTTGCGATGAAGGAATGTCTGCTACGCCCAGAATGAGATTGTTGGCTGGGGAGGGGAAACTGAGGATGCACTCCCTTTAAAAAAAAAATTAAGTATGGCACTTGTACGTGATTACTCAAGAATGTGCTGGTCAACAACCTTACTAACGTTTCCTGCTCCTTTAGCAGCATTTTTCTGAGGACCTTAAAATGGATTTCAGCCATACAACACCTCGCTCTCATGGGAAGTGTCACCTCCTTTTAAGAAATGGCATAATGAATCAGGGAGGGGCCAAGAGCACAGGGCAATGAGAAAAGGGCCTCTGATGTTCTCCATGAAGTAACTGTTCACAGAAATCCCTTAAATAAAGAGTGAAGTGCAGCATAATCAGAAAATATGCTCCCCCGATTTTACAAGTACTTTCAGCTGCAGCAGAGCGAGGCAGCTGTAACGCAGAACAACTCTTGGATCGCACTGCAGGGAGATGCGAGGTAGGGTCACTCTGAGCAGGCTCATGAAAACCAGAGTTATGTGGGTGTAGCCCTTGGAGTTTGATTCCAGCTCCTGAGAGCATCACCTGCCTTGATACATGACAGTGTCTTGCGTTAATAACGACAAATTTATGTATCTTGTGAACTGCCACTTTGTTTTCTAGGTGTAAGGAGCTGGGAGGCAAAGTGTCTGGAACTGTCAAAGCCCAGAGATAAGGACCACAATTAATGTGGTGAATTATGTTCAACAACAGATGGTACAGACTCTGCCTTGTCTTTTGTCTGTCTGGTATTTTAACTCGATGAAAAAAAACTGGGCTGAGCAGGGGAGGCCACAGGAAGGAGCAGAAAATGACTACCCAGTAATCTTTTATCAGTTGCACAGGTCTCAAGATGAAATCAGACAGTCAGGAAAAAGAGACACTTACCTGTTTTAAGGAGCCTTTCAGTGTTAGAAACATATATGCCATATAGCCTGGTATCAGCACCATAGAAGACAAAGCCATGAACCAGCCAACCCCTTGGCCCCATTTTGGGAAAACGTAACTTCCCATTGTGAGCGGAGTCATTTGGACAGCACTGAAGATAAATACTCCCTGCAAAATACAGAGCAAAAGGAGGTTTGGATGAGATTTCCAGAGTGTTCTGCGTTCAAGGATTTTTCTGGATTGCTTTTGGGCCTCTAGCCTGACTTTACATCCAGGCAGGGACACAAGGGTTCCTTTGACCCCCAGTGATGGGCACTGGCTCGTAGATAAGGCCTGCAGGTTCGTCTTCCAAATGAAGGTTGCAGAAAAAGGGGAAACGTCAGCCCACTGTGCTGACTGATTCCTGCTAGCTCAATCCCTAGTGTGGGAATGTGTAAATAATGGAACTGTAATCCTGAAGTTGTGAAGCTGTTGGTTTCCACTAACTTGCTTATTGGATTAACAGTATCGGTAACAGCTCTAATGTACTGGTCAGCAACTGACTCCTAGAGGCCCTGGATAAAAATGTTCTTTAAAGCCTGGCTCTGCACTGACCTCTCCAGTATCACCATCTAAGAGTGCTTGGCCCAGAGGCTTTAATATTGTTCGGCTCCTCTGAACAAACTCATAATGGAAAATGAGGGCAGTCAGGGGGATCCTGTGGTCCCCTATGTGGCCACAGATCTGTCTGTATGAGAGATCCTATGATTACCCCATGAAATTCAAAAACTACTTTGAATTTGCCAGTAACAAGTGACAAGGAGAGAGCTTCCCAAAATGCTTCTTACCAAAATTAATCTTAATGTTTCAAGTTAACACTGTATGTTCCTATCTGTAACCTGCATCTCAGCTTATGCTGGTGTGGGGAATCCACTGGTACTAGCAGAGTCCTCAGGTAACCTGCACAAAATCAGAGGGAAGGGGGCTACTGGGAAAGATGGGGGTCCTGGGCAACAACAGCTGCATACATGTGTATACTGTAGCCCTGAGAGCAGCACTTGCAGGCTGCCTTTGTGTCGTTTCCAAGCAGATGACATGTGAACATGGCATTTCTTCCTTGAAGTTCCCAAGGAAGATTTCTACCCTGGCCTGTGTTAATGTCTGAAACAGCCCAATAGGGAAACCTGATAATCCCAGTCTGTTATCAGAATAGTGCCTGTGAAGGGACTCAGTTTACAAAATGTGGGCATTTTTGTATATATGGAAAATTTAGACGTTAGAGAGATTGCTAAATTTTATCTCAGAATACAATAAATGGTCAACATTTGTTTCTTATTTTTTATCTATCCTAGTTAAACTCTTGACTAGTTACCGTTTCCAGAGGACTAATACAAATCCTGAAATTGAACAAGGCTTCTTTTCTGAGGGCACAGGCTTCCTCTAATGAGACCGGGTTTTGCTTATTGCCTTCAATGGAATTGCTCAAATCCTTAAAAAAGGAATGAGGTCAGAGTTAACCTGAACCTGGGGATGTGGAAACGACAATGCTGTAGTACATAGTCTACCTCATTTACATCCTTCAAATCGTATAATAAAAGTTTGTTCCTTACTGCCACAATAATAGGAGTGAAAAACGACCAGCAGAGTTTCCACCAGATGCAGGGTCTGTATCCCACCATCTCTTGGATGTTGTCATAAAATCTATTAACACCTAAATATAGAAATAAGAATCAGCATAGAAACGTATGAGATAATTGCTTCAATTGAAAGCTCAGTGGTTTTGAGACACTGTCATAAACGATGAGGTGTATTTGGAAGCTCAGTACAGACCCCAACATAACTTCTCACCTCTCTGAAGGGGAAAGGCATGTGCAAACTCAGAAGCACAAAGAATAATTTGTTCTCGTTCTTCCACATCAGAATTAATGAATTAGGAACAAACAAACTTATTCCCATGCAAAGGCTGAGGAAGTCTGTACATCTGAAGCTCAGATGCAATAAATCATTCTTGCTTAATTTCAACTCCAAGTCTTATTAGAATGAGAGGTTTAGAGTGATATTTTACAAATTAAATAAATGAAAACAACACCCCAATTTCACTCTGTGTGGATGTAAGCACACCATATACATGCAGAACTGCGTATGAGATCAAAGAGTAGCCCTTCTGCGGCTGCTGTTACCTACCAGCACTTCAGCATCTTCTAAAAGGTCTGTCTACCATATTATTTACAACTTTGTATTTGATTTCATCATTTTTTATCTGGTGTATTTTCCCATTCGCATTGGCTGGATTCACATGCAGTATCTCTCCCCTATAAAATGCTGTTCCATCCTCTTAAGCCCATTAAAAGACAGCAGAAAGACTCCAGTTATCAAACTCTGAATCCATGTTCCGATATAAGCTGAAGTGCCTTAGTAATCAGGGGAGTAGGTCCTTGGACAAGCTAACACAGAACTAAGGTCAAATGCACAAATACTCTGGTAAGAATACAATACATATTCATTAATCTTCATACCCAGAGCTTGTCAGTCGAGACTTCTGGGTGTTTTGGGGCAATTATACAACTGACCAAGGACCCTGGATCTCACTGCAAGATCCTAGAGTGACATACTCATTTCTGGAAACAAAACATTATGAAGTCCAAAAGACCTAAGCCATTATGTTGAGAACAGCAGTACTTCACACTTCTAGAGATCCAGGCTTTCCAAGGAAGGGGGATGGGAAAAAGAAGAGGGAGATGTCATCTATTTAGTATTCCTGAAACCTTTAGCATCTAGTGACTTGCAAGCTTATATACACAGGGTGTTTTAAAGAGGCAGGGGTACCTTCCACAAGCCAACTTTGAGTCCTTGGTATAATTATATGCATATGGAACAATTCCAGTTCCACCCTCAGCATGTGCACACACAAAAGAACAAATCAGCAGATAAAGTATCCTTATGATGTGCAAAACTTGTGGAAAAAAAGAAAACATATTGTTTACCATAGCACCAGGATATCGAGATGCATTCAAAGAATACAAGGAACAAGAGGCTCATTCCACTGGCAGAGTAGTAGTCAAAAAGCTTAAACACATAGATTCCACCCTAAAAATATATGAAGGAAGTGTTAAAATACATAGTAAGGAGTCCAATTTCAAGACAGAGTAAAATGCAAACTACAAACTAACAGTGGCAAACAGGTTAGGGACATATTAATGTAAATTAAAGTTAACAGGTTAAAGTCTTAGAGCACTTGAGGTCAATACTGACAAAAACTGGATTACTGCTAGAACTCAGTTAACTGGTTTGATTTCACTTTACTCCTTTTTGTTCAATAATTCAATCATTTCCCTGAAAGGGTTTGCAATCTTAGTAGATCACAGGAAGCAATGGAGAACATCCCTAGTTACCACTTCTTGGAACATGAGACAGACTGCAGAGACGTGTGTTTTCACCTGAACCACGGACTATGGACATTTCACACTTCTAAGTTAATGTCTGCTGCCTGAAGTCTTTGGATATCGTTGATGATAGGTCATGCCACTTCGATGGTTTGCACTGATTCGAGGGAGGGCAGAAATAGGATGGACGCTGTATGTCAGACGTAAGATCACATTCTTGCACAAAACATACCTGAGTAATATTGGACAGCCCTATCAGATAGGAAACAATGCATACAACAGCAATGAAGATTTCTCTTCGATTGCGCAGTAACTTCGGAAATTCATCCACCAAAGCTGTTATAAATCCTTCCACAGTGCAGAACTGCAAGCAAAGTTAGAAACAAAATACAATGCCATGCACTACAATAGCAGGATTACTCTTAGGGAGGAGTTTTTCAAATAGCAGTCATCACTGGCCTAGGGCTGCATCCATTAAACGACAAATAAAAATTCACTTGACTTCCGTGGAAGCAGTGCTGCTGAATATCCGTGTTTCTGTCTACAAAGATCTGTGCAAAAAGATTTCCAGCTAGAAAACCACTCAAAATTCTAAAACTATGAACTACAGCACGTTCTTTATGAACATGGAGTGCTTGTTCTTGTGCCAGAAAAAGATACACCTACAGTGAAAGGCTTTGACCCCTAGGTCCTTCAAAACCTTACACTTCTCCTTTCTGTGATTTACTCACATATATGAAAGCGATAGGCACAAACAATCTAAGCAGATTAGTGCTTCAAGGTGAAGGTTAAAGACACAAGGTTGATTCTTGTATTTTATAAATCATACTTTCTGTACTCCCGAAAAACATTTTTGCTGAGGAAGTGCTCCTCCAAATGGAAAGCATGGCCATAGTTCAGATTTTTTTCTGTACGTATATATTCAAAATAAATGTTGTCATTATGGTGGCTGAAATAATGAAAACCAGAAATATATGTGAAGTTCTATTAAATTCCAGCAGTGCAATCAGAATTTAACCAATAGTTACAGCTCCTGTAAATTATAGCATACGAAATGTTTCACTGAAAGACAGAAAATGAAGAAAGCATGAAAGCCTGTAGATATATATTCCTTTTAACAATATTAGACTACATTCCTCAACTGTTAGTTGCCTAGAGACAAGTTCTTTCAAGAATATTTTTGACCCAATTAATTTCACAGTAGATTCCCCCCAGATTGAGCAATAGGTTTTAATGTCAAGCCTGAAGCTTACTGAAAAACCATCATAGAATCAAAGAATTGTTCTGGTTGGAAAAGACCTTGAAGATCATTGAGTCCAACCGTCAAATAGAAAACATAAGAAACAGAAAATGTAAATTTTCAGCTTCCTTCCATGTTGCAGGATAAAATGCCCTCTTGGTCCTTTTGTATTTTGGTTCATAGGCTGAAATCAACTTGGATTTATAGAAAATGCTGGATTTTCTCTACAGGACCAGTGCAGGACTCAGCCAGCATGTCACACATTCCTTTGTGTGCTGAGAGGGCTCTGCCAACACCTGTAAGGTGCTGGTTCAACAACGGCAACGGACTGCAAGTAGAGAAACACATCTGCCGATGACATACAAGACCAAACATTTCAGCAGTCAGAAAGGACCTTCCTGACAAAGTCCTCCCAGTATGCTTTGCAAAATAAGATGGGGTGCACTCTTTAGTGCCTACAATGTAGTTGCTATCTGTATTAAAATTATTACCAATTAATGATGGCTTTTGTTGGACACAGTCCTTTCTATCATGTAAATAATATGCTTTTTCTGTGTGCTTTGTTGTTCATTTTGCAATAATTTTTTTTTTTAATGATTGCATGGCAATTATTTCTTTATTTAATTATTTAATCTAAACATTAACTCTAGAGAATATCTTATTTGGATTTGCAAATCTTCTAGGTTGTGCCTCCCCATTCATTTCCTGTTGTCAGGTACCACCTATAACTCTTAGCTATGGCCTGAACTAGTAAAGTCTTGATCCTTACCATTGGGAAGTGATTTCAGAACATGCCAAGATGCAGCATGTCCTCAGTAACGAGCCTATTGCCTCCTGAATTTTCTCCTGACATTCACATGCTTAAAGTGAAATGTGTGCTGCACCCTTTTGCTCCATGTGGTCAGTTCTGAAGTCGCCTTTCAGAAATATTTGTGGCATCTAAACTTTGTAAAGCATATCCCAGTGTCTCTGACGTGATGAACATTGCAAAGGTATGTTTAATATTGTGACTAAATGGTTAAGATTCCAAAGAAAGTATCTGCAGAATAAATCTTCCGCACATTCGGTATATGCTTCCAAGACTTCATGGAAAAACAAAAGGGTTTAGTATTGGTTTTTCACTACCCCAGGCTCCTTGAACCTCGCAGTCTTTCCCCTCCTTAGTACCTCCTGTTATTTCAGACACCATACTGCACCACTAACTGCTGGCAGTGCAGTATGCCCAGGGAGAGGCCACCCCTGTACCCTACAGTTGCAGAATATTTGTCTTTGCAAAACACCAGTGTTACCTGACTGTCAATTCCGAGCATAAGCAACATGGAGAAGAACAGTATTGCCCACAAAGGAGAAATTGGTAACTGTGTCACTGCTTCTGGGTAAGCTAGAAATGCCAGTCCAGGGCCTGGTAGGAGAAACAGAGAGAAAAAAAAAATCAATGTGGTTGATCAGGTGTTGTCATTATTTGCTCCTGTTGATACATAGGTTTTAGGTTTATTTGAATGCCATGGATGCAGCATCTGACCAGGGATTTCGGTTTCATCAGCATTCACTGACCAAGGAGTCAGTGCATGTATCTTGCTTTAAAAATGAAACAACTAAAACAAACAAAAAAATCCACAAACCAAACCCCAAAACAACCAACCAAAATACTAGGTGCAGTGCAGAAGCTGCTGCTGAGAGACACCTTTGCACAGCAAAGACAGGGAACGCTATCCTTGGCTAGGAATACATCTTCAGGTACTGATCAGCGTTCCTTCCTCTCAAGCAGTTAGTGGTAGCTGTAATCTTCTGCTTTGCACCAAGTAGTTCAGAAGAGAAACAAAACCAGCTCATAAATGGAGAAGACACTTTCCAGCATTTACTGTATTCCCATTTGCTGTTCTATTCCATGAACTACCTTACAATACACATTTTAATAAACTATGTAGTTGTAAACAGACAAACCTTTTTGTTTGTGTTCGTACTAATCGCTGATGGAGGGCATATTGTTGGAAGGAGAATATAAATTCTTATTAAAAAGGAGCTCTTTGTGTTGTCATAGCATGGCTGGAAACCAGCTGATGTCAGGTTAAGCGTGCAACTTGCAGCAAACTACATAATCAGAGAGAGAATGTTAGTGTGCCTCAACTAAGTGGGGTGTTGGATTTCTCAGTTTTCATTAAAAGTAAGTCTGTCTCTGGTAGCTGGTTGGACACATAGAGCTTTCGAACCAGAGAAGGAAGGATTTGCATTAGACACCTGAGTTGTCAAAGGAAATGCAATGCAGATTTTCAATAGCGGTTATGTTTGAAATGTCTTCCAAATGGCAGCAGTAAAAGGAAAATAAACTGATAAAGATTTTATTAATTTTACTCTTTTACACATTCCACCAAAATGCAGCCACAGCTTTGGATAATATCTGCTTTACAAAGCTATCTAAAAGATCAAAACCCAACATGTCTCATGGTGCTAAAATAAACCAACAGTTTCTGAACTTGCTAGGAGAAATACAAGCCTTAATTAAAAGGTCAAATTTCCAAGTATCCTTGGTAATTACTGGCCACAGAAGGTCATTTGTATCGTTGAAATGTCTGTTATCTTAGCTACCCCAAAATGTATTTAGGACCTTAATATGTTATAAAAACATTGTGTTGTTTGCAGGTGTAGCCTTTCTATAGTTACATCTGTATCAAATACATAAATCCAGGAAGCTTATTTCACACACCACTGACTTTCCAGAGCATTTTTTGACAAAAGCGTATGCGATCATAATTCTTCTGTTAATTGCTTTGTACATGTACTTTATTGAAGATTATTTTTAGGGTTTAAATTCTCTTCTTTTCTAACTAAGGAAATATTCCATCAATGGGATATGTTTGCTCGTATAGTAAGACATGTTTTGTCCACCAGTGACTTCCAACCAAGCTTTCAGTGATCAAAACCCTCCCTGTGGCCAGAACTGCTAAATGAGTATCTGGTACACCAGCTGGGTTAGGGCAACCATCTGCTCCACCACTTGAAGCTTTTTCATCTGGGAGACAGACAAGGAACTGCAAAGAACAGCGTAATCCTTCCATGGACATCCCACTGCCCTAAGTAAAATGACTTTCATAATAAAGGATGCCATAAAACTGGCTGACAGCTGTAGGTCTGAACAGGTGAGAGGTGTTTCTGCCTCAAAGGGTTTAACCTCAAGAAACAGTAAAAGGAATTTCAAAACCTAACAGAATTTGAGAATATAGGCTCCTAAAACATAATGAAATGACCATCATTCCTCCTTTCAGTTTGCTTTTAAGAAGTTGAGTAGCAAGAGGCGCATAATCGGATGGCACAGCTGAGCACTGAGGCAGCTAAGTGTGCTGCCACCTCTCGTAAATGCATTCCCCGTAAGCAGTGTTCATTAGTATTCATCGCGCCCGCCCAAGAGGAGTCTCTGGCTGACCCCTCTCCACGCCAGCGGTTCCCGAGCGCTAGGCAGGCAGTCAGCTCGACGTGAAATGATTTTGCTGGTGCTGCCTTGAGAGGTCTGAAACAATGCTCTCCCTTTTGCAATCAGTAAGTGTGCCTGAAATGACAGGGAGCTGAGGAATGTTTTGAGGGAGAGATTTTGAACAATTACGTGAAGCAGTTGGCTACCACATACAAATGAAAAATAACTGATGCCACCGAACAACTTAAGAGAAAAGTATATTGGATACCTGATGCTGCAACATCTGCAATAGGCCTCTTTGTGACATTAGCCATGAATCCAACAATGGAGAAGATGACAAAGCCAGCAAACATGCTCGTGCATGAGTTTATGCAGCACACTATGATGGAGTCCCTGAAAAAAGGTAAGGTGCGTTCAGCAGCAGGTAAAGCAATGCTACTGTTCATCAGTATACTACCCTTTTTTCATGTGAAAAGATTTAATGATTTAGGATCTGATAGTCTGGGTTCCATTTCACGCTGTACTTAACTGTCTCTCCCATTAGTGTAAATGCAATTATACATATCATTCCTACTTGGATAAAACATTTAATACTCAGATCAGAGACTACACTTTATTTCGAAGATACAGTGCACAGAAAGACAGAATCCAGCTCCAGCTGAGACAGAAAAGTGGCACTGTGATAGGCGCAGTCATCTGCTTACCTGTAAACATTATTGTGGAAAGGGTTGTAACTTCCAAGGGCAATCAGTGAACCAAGACCCAAACCATAGGAGAAGAAAATCTGTGTGGCAGCATCCAGCCAAACCTGATTGCAGGAAATAATTTTTTAAAAAATCTGTTTCTGCACTTGAGGAGCAGGTCATATGTCTGAAAGGTGAACAGTTAGTGAAAGTTTTGTTTACAAGGATTGAATATTTACCTCAGAGTCTGAAAGCTTACTGAAGTTGGGAGTTATATAGAATAAAATGCCTTCCTTTGCTCCAGGCAGTGTTACACCACGGAAGAACAAGATAAGCAGCATAACATAGGGATAAGTAGCAGAGAAATATACCACCTGATGTGAAGAAACAAGACATTGTCAGTGTGGAAGGAAGAATGATTTGCTCTTGTTAACACTTTAGAAAATAGTTGCTCCCTAAAAATACTGCAGCAGCAACTGCGGCTGAATTTAACACTGAAGCATTTCTCAGTGGAAAAGCTTGGTGGGGGAAGGGGAGTGCACACTGCAGAACTCCCTACACACCACATCTACGGGGCAGGTGGTTGTTGCTGACTGTCCTGGAGGTAGATTTTAGTGGCTTGGGACATATATGCATGAGGTGCTCATGCTTTCCTTTTTTGTATTCAACAAGGGGAGCTCCCTAGAGCACAAGGTTCTACTACACCTACCCTGCTTGTAGAACATCATCTGTTAAATTATCATCCTGCTCTTAGACAACTGCTTTTGTATTTTTAACATCCTCTCCTCACGTACGTTACAATTGCCCTACAGGATCCTACTCTCTTGCCTTTTCAAAAGCCTTATAAAAAAGACACACTGAAGTCAGACTCCAAAGAAACAGTGAGCCCCGTTTTGCCACCTCCTCTGAAGACAAGAGAAATGAAATGGTTTGGTCTGAGCTCAGCTAGGCCATGTTCAGCATGCAGCTTGAAGTGGCTCACAGAACTATCTTGTCGAAAGTTAATTCACTCTTTCAGTGTGAAAAAATCCCAGCCCTCTCCAGCAGGCACAAGGTCTTACAACCCAGGCCTTCAGTTGCCACCAGGCCTCAGAGGTGTGCGGCTTTACATTTCACTAAGATCTCTTCCTGACATTTTGGGGAGAGGGAAGGGTATATGCCAATGTCAGATGCTGTTGTTGCCCTTTAATTCATGGAGAAAGGTCTGTCAATAATTATTTCCTTTAATTTGTTAGTTAAATCTATTTTGCACTCAGAAACCAGCCAGACTCCAAGAAGCACAGCATGTAAGCATGCCTGTGGCAAGAACCACCTATGGCTCTCATTCAGTATGAGGAGAGGACAGAGTAGCTCTATCCCATACAGCCTGCACAGCTACAGTCCAGCATGAGCTGTGCCATAAATGCATGCTTCTCACTGAAGGGAAAACACCGCATCCTCACTCTACTGCTACTCAGATTAGCTAAAATATTCATCCCAGGAACATGCAGACATATTTTTAGGCAATTTCATACCTGGCAAAGCCAGAAAGTCTATAAGTGAACATACCTAGTTCAGACCTAGCTACAGAGAAGCCAGCTCTTTCAAAAAGATGGTGCTGTATCATTTCAAGAAAGACAGAAATTAAATACTTCATGGAGATATTCCAGCAAACTGCTCCCAGTGCCTCTTACCTCAAGAATTTTCAGAATATTTGAGTAAAATGGGTATTTTTAAATGAAAGGCATTTACAGTACTTTTTAATCTTACCTTTCCGGTCCAGCCTACCCCCTTCCAGATACAAAAATACACCAGAATCCAGGCAATTGCTAGAGTAATTGCTAGCGGCCATCGGATTTGTCCCGGTTTTTCCAATCCATCAGTCATTTGGTGCATATTGCGTCTACAAGAAGCCAACAGAATGGTATATTTGACAAAGAATTCAGAAGATAGTATATAAATGATAACAAGCTGATCCTTGCATATGCATAGGAATGATACAGAGGAAAATTAACGGCTTACTCCCAGAATTCGACCACGGCACTTGTCATGTTGGTGGTGTTTGCTAAGGTATAATTGGAGAAGCAGCGGTCAGTGTTCCATGAGTTCTCACAGTGTTTCCAAGGAAGAGTCTGTTTAAGGAACAGAGAGAGAAAACGAAACAGTCAAACACTTTTCAAGTAAGCATTACCTCAAGTATCTGTCTCTTTACCAGAAATGACAGCTGAGTGGAGAACTAATATACTTTGAGTTCTGCAGCACACTGATATCTCTGGGATGCATGTCTGGGGTGAAGTTATTTAACTTCATATCGATTGTTTGAATCTGATCTGAAAATATTTCTTCCTTTCTTTAATATATCAGCCTCAGTGCTTTGGAGTCTGATGCCCCTCTCAGCATGTGGGAGTATATTGAGCGCTACAAGAAACAGGGGCAACAGAAAGGACCTACTGGAGGTCCTCCTACCTCTTGTTGCACTAGAGGTAATAAAACTGTGATGATTATAGATCAGAGATTTCCATTTTCCCCTCAGGTCAAGGAACAATTAGAAAAATGTAAACCACCTGTATTCTACATGTATTTTCTACATCTGTCCATTACATTATCTTTCAGCAGTTCTGAGAAGCAGAACCTGTTTACGTGCGACATCCATTAGAATGAATCTCATTTAGATACAACTTAGATATTCTTTTGATGGCCAGCTTGGAAAATCCTCTCACAGAAAATGTTTCATCAGGGTACTGCATGTTTTGAATACAAAGATAAGATGCTTCAAGGAAAATAGAAGTCAATATTCATCTAGAATGGGCCAGTGCACCACTTCCAGGCTATGACTGACCTTTCACATCAATAACAAATGTGAGGATAACAAAAAAAATTATCATGTCACTCCCAGATAGTAATTAATGCAAATTTTGTCAAGGGACAACTCTTTCAAGCCGAGAACAAGCAAGCATGAGCAAAATTTGTAGAGGAGACAATTGAACAACAACGCATTAATTATTAAGACTTATGTAAGAATGCTTCCTCAGATAGCCAAAACCCACAAATCAGACAAGACCAACTCAGCCCATGAATCATCCTTGAGGGGAGGAAAAAAGACAGCTAAAACTAAAAATTAAAAGGAAAGAAAAGAAAGCGAAAAACCCAACAATGAATGGAAGTTCAGAGCTAATCAAATCACAGACCTTCTATTCCATGGGGACTTCTTTGATAAACCCCTCCACCATTCAACCACATTTAACTCCCAAAGAACTAACTAGTTGCTGCTAGTGAAGAAAAAGAAATAATCAGTTAGACACTAGAATTTTTCTCAGGGGAATGACTGGCTGTCTGTGGGCTCAAAGGCAAAGGGGCACTAGTGCTCTCGTTAGCATTGCCAGGACAAGGAGTCCCAGGCCTACGCACAACTCGCAGCTGCAGAGAAGCAGAAGGCATGCTTGTGACCAAAGGGCAGAGAAAGGTAATAGGTGAAACTAAAAGGGTACAGATGAAAGAGCCATGGCTCTGAAGATTAAGATGAGAAAACTTAGACAAATTGGTAAGAAAGAGAAGCCTGTGGCTCCAAAATAACCCATTATTATGTTTCTCCACTGGCATTCTTAAAACAGAATATTTGCCTCACAGTATTCTATTCTGCATTTCCTGTACGGAAAACAATTAAAAAGGAGGAATTCTTACAAAACAGTGCTCTTTCAGTAAGAAATGGCTTATCCTACTGATTTCTATGCATTTTGTTTTAATCTCACACCTTTACAGTCAGACAGATTAATCAGCTATCTGTATATTTATATTTGCTTTATGTTCAACAAACAATTCCACTCCCCACCCCACTTACAGTGGTAAAGGAATTATACAGGTAGTATATGGCCCACGAAATAATCACAATGTAGTAAATATTTAGCCAAAAGGAAAGGACTGCAGCAGCTAGTCCCACACCTATAAAGAAAACAAAAAGAAACAAAAGAAGGTAACTTTTTTTTAGTAATGTTTGTACAAGTGTCAGCTGAAGAGCTGCAGTTCAGAAGAACAAACACAATATACGGGGCAGATACCATTTACTGAATTCTCTAGAAGCCTAGTTAAAATTTTAGAAGTACCATTATAAAAAGGTCACTAATTTGGGTGATAGTTCAGTCAAGCATAAATTTAATCATAGTGTGCAGCTATCTGTGTGGTGCAGTAAGCAGTCACATCTGCTGCTGCTGAGATTTTACAGGCATTTTTTATTCAGACAAAAGAGCTAAATCAGCTCATTCTCTGAAATAGCAGACCCACAGAAACTTCTGGCAGATGCATGCAAAACGAGTATGAGTTATAAGACCAGCTAGCCACACTGATCAAAGTCCTTGATGCTTAGTATAATGCTATTACATCAGCTCAGACTAAAGAAATGTCAGGGGTTCCACAATGCAAATGCCTTGTCTTCTACTCCACACAGTGACTTCAGGGGTATTTCAGGGGAAGTGCTCAAAATAATTAGTATAATGCAAAGTAGGATCTGTTCTTCGCACTGTGCCCCCTACCAACATGAGTAAGTCGAACCAAGTTAAAATGCTTATCTGTGAGAAACATTTTCATGTCTCTGGGTTTTCCCAATACACAATTTCCTAGAACAAAATCCACTCTAAACAAACTCTTGCCTCACGCTCTGCTGTCAGTCCTACTGTGTGAAGCAATTTATAACTGTGTAACTTGCTCCTCTATTGGTCCAGAAGTCAGTTCAGCAGCTCTTAAGAGTCAAAGAATTTGGGATTAGAGGGTGAAAAGCAGAGTTTGTGAGGTTTGTAGGTCTACGTAGAATCTAGACTAAAACCTTGAGGTTCTAGCAATGACAAAACTATAACTAAATATCTAAGTATGGAGTGCATTTGTCTTAAGCAATTCAGCATGAAATTGCCATCTTTGAAGCGTCTGGATTTTGAATTTCAGTAATGAACAACAGGAGACGGAAACCTCTGTGATCTCTAACAGAAACAGTATCTACCAAATTGCTGTGAACAGAGTTCCATACCTACTCAGACAAATATTGCTAGATTTAATATGCCATTTTGAAGAGTCTTGATAGGTTCCTAACAAAAAATAAAGCTTTTTGAAGTTCAAAACTAAGTTTGTTGAGATTCTAATGTCTGTCTCTAGCTATTTTTAACCAGGAATGAATAATATCCTAGTATGTTTCAAAATTGACATTTACACCTCAGAAAATGAGGTTTTAAGTAAAAAATATTAAGACATAAAGAAACATTCTTGCCCTGTCACTTTGTGCAACTTGGAAACAGATGGAAAGATGAAATCTAAATTCATACTGTACCTTTGAACATTGGAGCAAGCTTCCATACTCCAAGGCCTCCTATAGATGTATACTGACCAAGGGAACACTCCAAAAGGAAAAGTGGCACTCCAGCAAAAATTAGAGTAAGGAAATAGGGAATCAGGAATGCACCTAAAAAAGTAATGAGAAAAACTCTGTTAAAATGGGGAAAAATAGCAGAGTTTCCACTGTTTCCATTCCTGTTATATATGAAAAGAAAAAAGAAAAGAAACCCACCATTTCTAAGTGCAACTTTTCAAAAAACTTAATGGAAAGCAGATGTACACTTCTGAGCCAGTGTCTCAAGAGGTGAAAATAGGGGAAAAATATCTCCTCATAATTTAAATATTTTCTGTTTGAATAAAAAGCTAAAATCCAAAAGACTTTGTATTTTGTTGCCTTCATCTATCACAGGAGCATGCAGATAGCACAAAAGCTTTAACCACAACTGGCTGCTTTCCAGCTGAAGTTAGCCTTTTATGGTAAGCTCAGAGTCAGTATTACAAGCCTTATGCAATCCTCTCAAAAACTCAGTCCAAAAGAGAGAGCTCTGAAGGTTTGGAGGACAATGTGTCTTCATTTTGCTCTAATGCCTTATGGTCTTTTAAGAGCATTTGCCAACTGGAAGTTAGAATAAACTCCAGGGCAGACCTCAAAGCAGAGCACCACACTCCAAAACTGCTCCAACCCTCCTGGACAAGTGTAAATCAAAAAAACCACAAGCAAAACCAAAATACACCTATACAGATGAAAAAAACTATTAAAACCATGTTTTGTTTCACTGATAATTTTTATGGTGAATTCTAATATACAAATATATCAGAAGCCGTAAGAATGAAACAGCAAACATACCTCCACCATTCTTGCCACAAAGGTATGGAAATCGCCACACGTTCCCTAAGCCAATAGCATAACCTACACAGGACATAAGAAAGTCAAATTTTCCTTTCCAAGTATCTCGGTCTGGAAGATCCGTCTTCTTCTTCTGCACTTTTACAACCAAGGTTTTAGGCTTGTCGTTGGTGATTGAAGCATCGACCTCTGTGGAGATCTGTCCATCTGCCACTTTTGTCCCGTTCGTCGCCATGTCTCTGGGTTTTGCTGGAGAGGCTCTGGCCGCAGCCGGACGCGAGATTTCAGCACCAGTCCACGTGGACAGCAGCTTTGCGGCTCGCGGAGACCCAAGCGGGTGGGCACGGCGTGGGCAGGAGAGGTGCAGCAGCCCTCCAACGCCGGGATGGCTTGCGAGCTCGTCGGCAGCCCCCTGCCAGCGTCTGGGTCAGTCTGTGAAACCAAGAGCACAGGAGTCAGATTTGTTTCAGCCGTACTTTGGGCAGCTGAAAAGCGTACAGTGACCAGAGACGTCGCTGCTGAAAGAGCTTTGCAACACAGGTGCTTCATCAAAGAGCTTGGCTCTGCCCTTTGGAGTTTTTCTGATTGACTCAGGCGGAAGCTGAGCTGAACTAACATAGTCCCCCCAAAAAATCTCCAAGGCACAGTTACATGTTTTTTTCCCCTACAGATCTCTTCTGAGTCTACAGAAACAAAACAATTCTAAAATGTAGTACTATGTTGTACATAGCATACAGCCCAGATTTATATGTATCAGATGGGTTATAGTAATGAGGTTTCTATTTAATAGTCCAGTATACAGCATAGCTTTAACAGCCCAGAAATTGGGCAATGAAACTATTCTATCTAATTGTTCTGCGTTAACAAAAACTAAAGGGGAATTCCCAAGGTTGTAAAATTCCTTTATTCACAGAAGTTGTGGCTATCAAGACATAGCACTTTCCACATTTATTAGTGAATTTAAAAAAGTTATGAATAGCATGCACTTATCCAAAAGACCTTTGTCTAAAACACTCTCAAAGGAATTAAACAATAAAGCAGATCAAGCAACAGGCCTTGAATCTGGGTAATGACTTTAACTTTTACATGTGGTTATAATTAGTTGTTAATATAAGACAAATGTTTCACTAAGCTTTAATTATAAGCACTGTAAGACAACAGGCTGCAATAATCACTCCTCAGTTTCTGTTCCCTACTGTGGGTTGCATTCTTGCACCTTTTCAAAAACCATTACTGGTACTACACAAATTTTCAAAGTTGAAATAAAGAAGAACGTATAGAGAGCAGCCCTGAGGCGAAGGATTTGGGGGTACTGTTGGATGAAAAGCTGGACATGAGTCAGCAGTGTGCGCTGGCAGCCCAGAAAGCCAACCGTATCCTGGGCTGTATCCAGTATCCAGAGAAGTGTGGCCAGCAGGTCGAGGGAGGTGATTCTCCCTCTCTATTCTGTGCTTGTGAGACCCCACCTGGAGTGCTGCATCCAGCTCTGGGGCTCCCAACATAACAAGGACGTGGGCCGGTTGGAGCAAGTCAGTGGAAGCCACAAAGATAATCAGAGGGCTGGTGCAGCTCTGCTATGGAGAAAGTCTGGGAGTTGGGCGAGAAGGCTCCGGGAAGTACTTATAGCACCTTCCAATACTTGAAAGGGGCCTATAAGAAAGCTGGGGGGGACTTTTTACAAGGGCCTGTAGTGACAGGACAAGGGGTAACAGGTTTAAATTGAAAGCAGGGAGATTTAGACTAGATATCAGGAAGAAGTTCTTCACAGAGAGGGTAGGGAAGCTCTGGCACAGGTTACCTAGAGAAGCTGTGGATGCCCCATCCTCGGAAGTGTTCAAGACCAGGTTGGATGTGGCTTTGAGCAACCTGGCCTAGTGGAAGGTGCCCCTGCCTATGTCAGGGGGGGTGGGACTAAATGGTGTTTAATGTCCCTTCCAACCCAAACCATTCTGTGATTCTATAAAAACAGTCAAGGAAGAAAAAAAAAACATAACTAGGGATATTATGTCAGTCAACGCTGATGCACCTGTGATTCTTGAAGACTTCACAGCTCCACTTCAATTGGAGAAACAGCAGTGAGGTAGTGTTTACTGCATTACTATATGCCCATTCACGATCGATTTATTGTCTATTTCCTCTTAGTAACTTCTTTTACCATATGCTAGTCACCAATCCTCAAACTAGAGATTGCATCAACTGAAACACTTGCCAGTGTTAAGCTACACCTTAGGGCAATGTTGGCAAGGCAAAGATCAACAATTTTATTTACGTATTTGTGTAAAGGAAGATTGAGATTAGCCATTCACTTATATTCGTAAATTATGTTAAAAGAAACATTAAAAAAATGTAAAGACTGCTAAAAACTGTGCGTTTCTTCTACTTCCCATTACAGATCAACTGCATGATTACAATGTTTATTATAAGGCCACACAATCAAAAAAAAAAAGTTTTCAGTCAGAAGCTGTAGATGAATCAGCTGTAGGTATGCTAGGGTCAGAAGGGGAGTGAGTATCATCCTTCTAACCTTCCTCTCTGTTCCACTTCAGGATGGGACTCAAAGAAGGAAACTCCATCTGTGTACTTCCACATCCTCACAAGTCCTTCTGTGTACAGATGTCTCCCATTCACAAACCTTGGGCTTAGTTTTCCATATTGCAGTGTAAGCCTGTCCAAATTTGTGTACCAATAAACGTCATTTCTAGCTGTAGTCACAAGTCTGAGCAGTTCAGGTAATGCTCCTTGAATGTTCATTCAAGGAAATACAGACCATTGTGTGGGCAAAACAGGGCTCCGGTTCTGAGGCCGGGTTGAGGTCCCGTTGACGCTCTGACCTCCCCACCTCCACGTTCGTGTCCATGGAGCAGACAGCTCCCGGAGTGCATGGCAAATGTGCAGCTTGCCAGCACCACCTGCTGCTGAAGACATAGAACTGGAAGTGTTTCTTTTTAGCCAGCACAGGCTGTGTACTGAGTTAACGATCATCAGGCTGTTCTTTTACAATCAGGTCCTGTAGTAGATTAGGGGGTTTTTGTGGTTGTATTTACGTTTGGGCTGTGCTTTATCATCAGCAGGAGCTTCCAAGTACTGGAAGATGCTGAGTGTGTCGAGGATGGGTGGAAAAAGAAACCCAAAGCAATGTAAAAAAACCCCAAATAAACCAAGACTGCATAGAGAGATGTATGTTTACATACTTCTCTCGTTTGGCTCGTAATGAGAGATAAACTCATCCTCACAGATGGAACACCAGGAAAGGATCTGTGCTGAATCTCAGAACTGAACAAGCCCAGAGAAACATGGATTAACCCCCTCTCACCTACAAACAGGCTCTGCAGGTGAGTGCTGGGCACAGAGCCTGCCTGCTCTTCCAGCCCCAGCAGACTCTGGAGAGTATTGGGTATGCATTAAAGCCTCTGTTGAACAAAGCGAGTCAGTTAGTCCAGCATAGAGTCCACGGCAAAGACAAACCGGAGGGTTAGTTAGAAAATTTTCATGAATCAAGCAAAGAACCTGGGAATTTGTGATGCTTCCTGAAGGATGGTGCCCAGACCTGTTTCAATACTACTGTAATGTTGACTCTAAGGCTGAAACCTCAGACACACAGGAAGTGTGCAAGTCTATGCTGAGGGTCAGGGAGAGTTGGCAGACAGCCTGTTTTTTTTTAATATTAAAAATGATTGAAAGCAGTAATTCAAACCATCACATGTGGAGAAGCGTTTAACTTCCTCTTACAGCACCACCTTTAGCAAATACCCCATTGCACACACTGCAAGTATTCAGCAACATCAGGCAGTGGCAAGCCCAAAGACGCAGCAGAGGCTTGTTTTGAGACGATGGAGGTGGGGACTGACCCATTTGCATCTGTCCTGTCCTACCGCTGCTGCTGACATTATTCTGTTTGGAGGCCATGCTGGATATTTTACTGTCAGTGGTGTCAGTGCATGGACATCTGTGCATATATGGTGATACAGCAGACTGACATCAGACAATGAAAAATGCTTTAATTCCATAGGCTTGAAAGCAGGGTTTGTCCATGCTATGAAAAAATAATTTTCCCCAAGTGTAAGAAATAAAAGTAATAAATTACAACAATAGAACTAGCCCCTAACCTTATTTACAGTAGAACTTTTAAAAAAGAAATAGGACTATAACAATCTAGAAGAACTGGCGATACAGCAGTAAAGACACTTGGCACATTCTCTCTAATCTGATTAGGCAACATCCCACAGCACTGGGATTTAAATTTAAAATTGGTCTGACATGGAATGGGACAGAAAGACACTTACGTAAGCTCTGTGGGTTGGCTTAGGAAAAATGAAATACAAATTGTTGTTGTCAGTCAGCAGAGCAGGTACGACAGTTGCTATGCAGTGCTATGCTTTGTGGGAAGAAGATGGAGAGACCTTTTAAGTTCGTCGGTCGTTGCTCCTTCGGTTCCTTCATGCCAACACTGAGTGTGGTAGGAAGGGCACAGCAGCTTCCCACCACATTCCTCAGTGCACAATAGAGCTTCCTTGACTTCAGTTACTAGGGTTGCTCAGCCAAGAGGAGAAAGCCCTCTAAACAGGGTTTTGGATACCATCTGGTTGTCCTGCATCATCACCACATTAGAGAAGAATGACCTGTGAGAGCCAAGCACACATAGCAGCCAAAGTAATAAGCACTACCAGGGAAACAGGAACAAAGAGAGTGCCACTTAATGAAAGCATTTTTTCCTCTCCTGGTCTGCATGAAAGTGGATTTGAAGACTTTAGAACTGTCTGCATAAAATGAAAGTGAACAGCAATATTACTATCATCTTTCACAAGCGATATCAAAAAGCAATAAAGAACAGCTAGGAAACCCCAGCTCCTTTAAATGATGAACCTCTTTATGTTCAAAGTTCATTACTCCCTCCCCTCCAATCCATTGTGTTCCTCCCTCCTTGGAGCTGTTGCACCCCGAGGGCTTCACACGAGGCAAGACTGCGGCAGCTCCATGTAAGAAACATTGAAGAAATGCTGTTATATAAAATGTGGCACATTGGCCTCATAAAACTTTGAAGGTAGCATTCCTCTAACCTAAGCAGGACTCCAGTCGAGCCCACTGTGGCCTCACATTTTTTGCACTTACGATTCTGCTTGTATTGAGCAATAAACTCAAGAGAACACCGTACATATTCTAAGTTTTATAGCAAATTATATACCCCATGTCAGTGTCTTGGAGCATATGAAAGGGTATTGGAATGTAGGAAGTGTAAAAAGAAGACAGCTGAGCTCACTGGACTTCCATTCTGAGATGCCCACAAGGAAAGCTTTGTTTTATTACTCCTTCATAGGAGGGATACTGTTTGGAAGTAGTAAGCAAAATACTG